TAAGTGGCTTTACTATATCTATAAACCATGGGTTATTATTTAATTCATTCTCTTCACAATTGCTCATTCCGAATACATCCAAGAAAGCCCTGTAGATCAATCCAATGCATGATATAATTTTATTTTATTTCTCTCATGTTGCCCCTCCACTCCTTTTGATTTTTTTGATGGTGGGAATGACAAGTATAACATAATAACATCAATCAAGTCCAAGTTATACATGCCTTCCAGGCTACATATAATTTAAAGTAAGTAGGGGTAAATGGTGTTGATAAACATTCAAAACCACCCTACAACTCGTCGTAGGTTCCCCTATTACCGTTTCTCAAATCCCCTCACCTTTGCCTTACAATGAATACTCAAGCATCCTTCCCCCCCCCCCCCCCCCCCCCCCCCCCCCCAAAAAAAAAAAAAAAAAAAAAAGGAAAGTAACAAGAACGAGAAAATACTTAATTATCAGTGAGATCATTAGTAAGTACTAGTAAGGAAGCCATTTCTCAAGTAGTGTACTGACTAAGGCAAACTCCAATCACAAAACATTAAAATAATAATTTTACACGTTAAAATGATGCTTTCAATCCGATCAGGATAAAATGATGATTTTTAGTGGCCATATATTTTGGTCTGCATGAAGCTATCCCACAGAGTAAAATGGTGTTATTTAGAGGTTGGTTGAATGAAATAGCAACTTACTCGGCCTCTATTCTTGTGTTATGAATAAGGATAAACAAAAACCGTACCACAATTAAAATTAAGTGTAAAAACCGCATAAACCACAATTGATAAACAACAACCGCAATAAAAACTGATTGTGAGGTTTGTGATAAAGACCATAAAATCAACCATATGATCAAATGATTTGAACCTAAACAGAAGTCCTCTTTATTATTGAATTTAGTTGCATTTTAATTGTTTAGCTGTTAGTTTTAGTTAAGTTTTTAGTCTTGCAAAACTAGAGAAAACCTTTTACTTTTATTACTTGCTTAGTTAATTTTAGTTATTAGTTTAATTTTCGTTCCCTGAATTCGATACCATGCTTGCTAATTTATACCACCAATTGACAGATCCTCTGCCTTTTGTGTGTCAAATTCATAATTAAAAAGTAGGATAAAACTAGTGCATTCCACACACATCAAGTTTTTCACATAGATCCTATTTTCACATTTGCCCCGAGCCAGTGTCTGTCGCGTTTTCCTGTCCTGAATAGTAAAATATGTTTGAGAAAACAAAACATCAACCAGATTATCAGTAGTAAGCTTACTGATGGATAATAAATTCTTAGTAAGATGTGGAACAACCAAGACATCATGCAACTTAATATCTTTAGAAATTTGAGTATGACCCGTGTGTGAAATATTAAGAGTGTGACCATTACCAACAGTAACATTTACATTACCCTTATAAAGAGAAGCATTGGATAGATTGTTAGGAAAAGCTTTCATATGGATAGATTGGAGTAGCATTGGTCACATGACATTTGGCATGAAAAGCATGAGCAAGATTGGCATCCGATGAAGCAGCCTTGGTCGCATATGAGGCGAGATTAGGACAATGAGACGCATAATGCCCGTCAGTTCGACAATGTTGGCAATGGGGAGTGCGATGACCACAACCTCGTCCCCCTTCACGGGATGATCTGCCTTGACCACGAGCAGAGGATTGAGACCGTGAATGGTTAGCAGCAAATGCAACGGTGGGTGTGGAATCTGAACCACGTATCGATTTCAGAAAGAGTTTGTGACTCTCCGCTTGAGAAAGAAGATCACGAAATAATGGGGGCGGTTTAGATGCCAGAATTGTTGTTGAAAAAGTCTCAAAAGTAGCACTAAGACCACATAAAAACCAATGAATCTTGTCCGATTCATCTACTGGTTGTCTAATTGCTGATACATGATCACATAAAGCCTTAAACTTGTGTCCAAAATCAGAAACAAAAGATGATCCTTTAACTAGAAGACGTAACTGATCATGTAAGCTGTGTACCCTTTCAACCGAAGAGTAACTATAAGCATTTTTTAGAGCGTCCCAGATCTGTGCAGAAGAAGAAAGACCCAGAACTTCGGAGGCTGCCTCTACAGAAAGAGAGGAGTTTAGAAGAATTACAGCCCGCTGATCCTTCTCGAACTAGGTTGCGTACTCAGGGTTCGGAGATACTTTGTTGTCTGCAACAATGGTGGTAGATGGAGGCATGACAGAACCATCCACGTGAGCCAAAAGCTTTTGATAATAGAGGAGAGATGTCATCTGATTGCGCCATACTAAGTAGTTGCTTGAATTAAGTTTGATTGAAATCATATGCAAGATGGTTGCCATGGGTAGGGTTCCATCGGAGGGTGAGAAGAAGAAGAAGGCATGATTGGCAGAAAAGAAAATACCGAGAAAAGAGGGGGAAAATCGGAATTGAAGGAAGAAATTAGCTGGCTGATACCATGTGATAAAGGTAATCTCCACACCGAATTAGGTGGGATATCATCGCTATATATAAAGCATATATTACAATAACAGAATACAACTAGGAGCTAATTACATAAAGGTATACAAACTATCACTAAGGTTTTCTGTTATTCAAAAACCGCAATTTTGTGATGCGACACGGTTATTGTTTTTTAAAATCCGCAAAAAAAAAAACCGCACCGCACCGCATATATTATATATAATTTTTTATTAATTATTAATATATTAAATATTAAAATACAGACAAATTTCATGGATGAAAGCAATATAAAATTCTAGAAGATAAGAATATTGGTTTTTTTGTTATGTTTAACATTGAAAAATATTGAAATTTCACAATTTTAAAATATTTATTGTTAATCACTAGTGATTTCATGTTTTTAAGATATTAGTTGTTTGTGATTTAAGTTAATTGTCTTATACCTTATTTTATTATTATTATTATTACAAGTAATATCTTTGAACTCTTAAAACTGTTTTAACTCTAAATAACAGTTAAAAATCACACAAAATAACCACATCAAATCCATGCGGTTAATAACCGAAACATAAAAAACAAAACTGCATCGCAAATATAACCGCCTAATCACACCGCAAAAATAACTGCACTAAGCGGTTTTGAAAATGGATTAATCGCATTTATAGTTAGTGGTAAAGTTTCGACCAATAACCGCACCGAACTGTACCGCGCTCACCCTTAGTTATGAGTAATGATGGGAGTTGGTCTACAAGGTTATACTGATGACAACAAAATTAAATGTGGCGGTATTAGATTGACAGTGGTGGTGACTAAATGTGTTATTCGGTCAGGTTTTTCGGTTTTGATTTAATCAGTTTGATTTAATTGTTTTTTTTAGTATCTTAAAGTTAACCATAATTAAACCAAATAAGGTTAAGTTGAATCGATTTTGGTTTATTTGGTTTGTTTTACTAGTTAAACAGAATAAAATTTCACTTGTAAAGCTAAATATTAAACTAAAAGAAAAGAACACTTACTAAACACTAATACATAAATACGAATATCTACAGTAAAGTTCCTATATTTTGGCAAAAGTTTCACAAAAGTCCTAATTTTTTTTTTGAATGAAAAAGCCTAATAAACAGGATAAATCGGATGATTTAGCCCTTATCATCCAGTGACCCTCATTTAGTCAGTTACAAAAGTCTACGTGGACTGGGCATGCTTAGGTGGATGGTGAGTAACTTAATGAAACTTAAATATATACATCATTCATTCGTATGTGCCCTAAAATCGGACCATACAAAAATCAAAGCAGGAGGAGGAGCCACAAATGTCATCTTCATCTTCTGTAGGAAGCAAATGTTCAAATCGAAAAGTGATGAATCGACTGAGAAGCAGGTGCTATTGTGGTGATCCCATTGGAAAATGAACTTCGTGGACTCCGTTTAACCTAGGAAGAAGGTTTATAGGTTGCCTAAATTACCAGGATGAACCCAAAGACTGCAAATTCTTCCATCGTACGGATCCTCCTCTACCAAATAAATGGTATGCAAATCTCTAACTAGAATTTCACAACAATGTTAATTTAGAGCACAATGCAATTTTCTGGGACTTTGGCTAACAACAAGTTGAAGGGAAATTTTTTGGGGACATTGTGGAACAACCAGTGACACAACCACTAGTGGCAAATCAACCCGTGGTAGGAGTGACCATTCAAGTCCATAATAGAAAAGAAGGTGGAAAATAGAAATCTTTTTTTTTTGTGTTTGTGGTTTCTTTTGTTTTTGTGTTGGTGATGTTGAAGGATTGGTAGGATAGACAGAAGATGTATGGAAAGTAGTGTTTGGTGTGTTTGATGTGTTTTGGTTGTGTATGTTAGGGTACTATTAATGTCTTAATTGGTGTGTGTACTATGTATTATGTTGTCTCCTTTTGTCAAGTGAAATGAATTAACAAGTTTATGTTTATGTATGAGTCATAAGTGCTTCCAATGTAATCACAAGTGAATAGAATGGATAAAAATGAATGGAATCATTAATGAATTGAATCAATAAACAATGGAATGAATATAGAATATAATTAACCATGTTTAATAAACAATGGAATTAATAATGATTGAAATCATTTGTGATTGGAATCATGCATGACCGAAATCAAGTATGGTTGGAATCATGCATGACCGGAATCAAGTATGGTTGGAATCAAACCTGATTGGAATTCGAGTTAACTTAACAATGTAATCAACCACAACATTAACATACACAATATAATCAAATCAAACACTACATTACCATACACAATATGAGCAATCATTAACCATGTTAATCATAGAACATGTAATATTATCCAAAGCCAAAAGTTTGAATGGCTAGTTGTGTAAATGCCCAAAACATAATCAAGGGGCCCAAATCCTATACTTTATATGGCTATCAACAAAAGGGGCTATCAACAGTTGCCCAAAGCCAAAAATTTGTACATGTTCTTCACAAAAGTATGGGTTAGAAACACCCTAATCTAGACTAAGTGTGTTGGATGAACTCATCCCCTTCCCATTTTTGACAACCACCACTTTCTTCAATTGTATTTATGTTATCCTTTCTAAAGGCTTCCTCTTTCTCAGTTTTGGCTTCCTGACCATGTCCTCTATAATTAAGCCCTCCTGCTCTATCTCTTGTACACCCATGCCATTATCATTGATTCCCTCCTGATCCATCCTTTGTACACCCATTCCATCTTGATCCATGCCCTCTTGATCCATACCTTCTTGTTCCATGCCCTCCTTACCTATGCCCTCAATACCTATATCCTCTTTAATGATTCCCTCTGGATCCATACCCTCCTAATTCATCATCTCCAAACCCAAATCCTCTTTGATTCCATCTTCATTGCCTCAATATACATTGATTCCATATTCATTGCCTCCATCCACATTGATTCCCTCCTGATCCATCCCTTGTACACCCATTACAATTGGTTGACTTTTAGAGACTGTTTCTATAGTCAATTGGATAGGAAATCCAAAATCTTGTAACAAGCATATCAATATATGGTTAGGCATACTAAAAACAATAAATTAAAATTATTTTCTAAACCATACTTGTGATATATCAAGCTCCACATGTACATGTTTTAAACCTATAAATTCATACAATTCTTCCTCATTGATTCCAAGACAGTCCAAAATCTCTTGTGTAGTGTAATTCGGTTGTCTCATGAAATCAATACCACTCCTTACATCCACTCCTATTTAATCATCAAATTTAGGACTCTCCACATCTCTAGCCTCTTCATTATCACTCTCAGCAGTAGGAGTCACCACATTTTCTTCATCAAGATTAGTATTTCCCTCACCAAATTTTGTATTCCCTTTCAAACCACATCCAATACCTCTACCTCTCTTGCCTCTTCCTCCAGATCCATTATACACTTTCCTAAAATTGGCATAAATATACCTAACACATTATATGTGCTCTAAATGGGGTAAAATTTCCTTTGTTGCTTCAACAAGACCCTAGGAAATGAAAAAAAATGTATTAGTAATTGTTATTAAAAACTACAATAGATTATATGAATATAAATGAACCTGTCATTAGCTTGTGTTGATCACTAATGACACATAATCCCCTGCCAGCATCCAATGAAAGATCTTCAATTACTAGTTCCAAAAACCATTTCCAATTAACCTTGTTTTCAACCTCCACAACAGCCCATGTTATAGGGAAAATTTGATTATTTGCATCTCTACCTATTGTAGTTAGTAGCTCACCATTGCATTGAACCTTCAAAAAAAAACCCATCCAACCCTATAACCCTACGAAATCCTATCTTCCACCCATCTTTGATTGCTTTAAAGCACACATATACTCTATGAAAAGTTGTAGTCTGATCAGGATTAATATTAACAGAAATCCTAACTGTGCTTCCTGGATTGGACCTCATCAGTTCATGTCCATAATCCCACACTCTAGCATAATGGTCACTCAATTTGCCATCAATTAAGGACAATGCCCTATACGTTGATTTATAATATTTTGACCATGACACCTTGTAATGAAATTTACTTTGAATTTTTTCCTTCATTTCATTGCATTTTAACTTTGGTTTCCTTACTAATTCTTTCATAAATTACTTTGTTAACCAAGTTGGATTCATAACCCTTGAACTATTAAAATTCCTAACACATGTATGCATATCATTCATCCTTTTAACCTGGAATGATTTTTCAGTACTCGTCCATGAAGTAGGAACCATAAAAGGGCATTTTTCTAGATCACTAGCACACACAGCCACTAGTTTAACACTATCACACTTCTTGAAATGCCTCTTATAACCCTTATAAATGGAATAATTTGTTAAACATAATTTCAGTTGATGTCTAGATTAATACCTTTCTCCAATAATTGGTTTCATCACATTCCATTTGACCTTCGGATTATGGATGGAGTATACAATTTCATCTTCATCACTATCTTCCTCGTTAGATTCTTTAGTGTTTTTTCTCAGCATCTACTTCCATTCGAGCATTCTCTCATTCACCTTCCACTGGTTCGTCGTCATTGTCTTCACAAAGAACATTAACGAATTCATCTTTGCATCTTGAAACTGCTTTGGCTTTTACAAAATCATCAACTTGAATGTCGAATGTAACCGGCTCAAATACTTCATCCATCGCCAAAGGAGATGAGCAAAATCGATCGATCGATTTGTCGGGAATAAAGGAGACCAGAAAATGGGTTTTCTTTAATAACCTTAATGAGGTCAATGATACAATCGCCATTAAGATGCCACGTAATCACATGTAACCGGCTAAATGAAGGTCACCGGATGATAAGGGCTAAATTGTCCAGTTTATCCGGTTTATTAGGCTTTTTCATTCAAAAAAAAAATATAGGATTTTTTTGAAACTTTTGCCAAAATATAGGGACTTTACTATAGATATCCCTACATAAATATTATATTCAATCTTTTCACCATATGTTGCCTTAAAGTATCGATACGGCCACACAAGTTGTATAGGTGGGTATTATTGTAAAACTCACCGAGTTGGTCGATTACTTCTCCGAGTACTCACTACTTGGCCCCTTATAGAGGCGAGTTGTAAAATCCCGAGTACTCCCCGATCTATCCCTTACTGAACTGTGTAATGTTGGAAAACCTAGTAAACTCGGTGATTAACATGTATATACATAATTAATGATTTATTATTTAACGCATACATGTGATTATTACTACATATATATTTTAAAAAATCAGTAATTATTCACGAAGTGAGACCATTATTATTATTATTATTATTATTATTATTATTATTATTATTACTACTACTATTATTATTATTATTATTATTATTATTATTATTATTATTATTATTATTATTATTATTATTTTTGTATTCTCATGTATCTAATTTTATTATATATTTCAATCAACTTATGATTTTGACATATATAATATCCCTAAAAATATTTCTACATGAGTTACCGAATCCGAGTACTCGTTACTTGGTAGTCAACCGAGCAGATACCGAGTAACGAGTTTTACAACCTTGTATGTGGGTTAATATAGTTTTAGTGGTGTATGAAGAGGAAATAAATGAACAAATGGTAATTGACATTTGGTTTTTGTGTTTAAATATAAATTTATAATGGTTAATAATTTAATAATTAGTTATGAAAATCTTTTTAATAACTAATCTATCAATTTAAACACACACACACACACACACACACACACATATATATATATATATATATATATATATATATATATATATATATATATATATATATATATATATATATATATATATATGTATGTATAAGTCTATTCAACTTTTTTGGGTTAACCAAAATAATAAAAATGTAACCAAAATCAAATCGAATAAAGTATCTTATTCAGTTAACCAAATTGAATTAACCGAGAACCGAATAACCTAAACTAAATAAACCAAACATCATTTGGTTTGGTTCGATTATTCGGTTTCGATTTTCTATCACATTCTTAATGGATGATAGTGGATGATGTTGGCCGGAGAAGATAATCATGACAAAATTTAATGTTAATTTTTATTAAAAAATATAATTATAAATCGTGTACACAAAAAACATTAACCCACAATATTCATTTAAATGATAGGTTTTAAACATCTCGGGTGAACTTAATGATAATTCGTGTATAAAAAATGATTATATATGTATAAGAATAATAATTTATTAGCCTACAAAATCATTTTTACTTATTTTCATACCCATATTAGAAAAAGGTAGAAAAAGGTGTTTTTTTATTTGGTGTATTTTATTGTTTCCTTGGTGGCACATTGGGAGCATTACAAGCTGTCTGTGTACAAGCATTTAGGTGTATATATATATATATATATATATATATATATATATATATATATATATATATATATATATATATATATATCATAACAAAGCTAGGCATAAACATAGGCTTTTAGTCTGGAAACAGATCATATTGCTACATTTCCCATATGTAGGGTTTGGCACATAGGTAAATGTTACCCATTTTGTAAACTAAGCCTTATAGCTTGACAAGAAGGATCACACACACAAAGGCGGATGCAAGCTTTAAGGAATGGGGGGCGGTGCCCCCAAGGCCCTAACGCCTCCACGACTTTTATACACTATTATGGACTCGTTTAGTTTATTCATTATAATTAATAATTAATAAGCCCCTCGATGTATTGTTCTTTGAATTTACAAAGGGTTTGTGCTAATTTTAAGATGACCTGATCTCATAGAAAATCGTGACACATAATTTATAGTAAGCGTTTGTTTTAGTTTTTTTGTTGTTGGAACCGACAAATATACTAATGAGACCTCTCTAATTAACAAGAAACTAAGCAAGCCACACAACAAGAATGCACTTGAGGGTGTTGATTTGTTTCTTTTTGTTTTAGTTATATAGGATTATTTCCATTTAACTTATTCACGTTTGCATTAAGATTAAGGTAAATAGTACAAAAAACATTTTTTTTACACAGAAATTTGATTTTGACACCGTGTTTTTTTTTTTTGTGTCAATTTTGATACTGTGTTTTCCAATTTATTGCAACTCTGACCACTTGATCGGTTAACCAGGTTGCATGCTGACGTGGCATGATGACGTATCAGTTTTAATGACGTAGCATGCTGACATTATATGCTGACGTGTCAAAATTGAATTTTTTTCTCACAAAAAACACTAAGTTTTCATTTTTTTCGATTTTGACATTAAGTTTAATTTTTTCTTTCAACTTTGACAGTATGTTTTTTTGTTCCAAATCGAATATCATTTTTTCCAATTTTGTTCAATGTTGATAATTTTTCTATTTGAAACCGTATAAATATTTTTTTAATACATTTAAACCGTATAAATATGTTTTTTTTTTTCATTTAAAAACCATAGTTTTGTATAAACACATTTTTTTTATACTCAAACCATATTTTTATGTATAAATATGTATTAGTTATATAAAAATTATATTTTATATTAAATATGCAACTTTAAATGTGTTTGAAGGTTTGGAGGCATGTAGTCGATCAAAACTCGGATATCAAGTTTGCAACCCATCAAAATTTTACATCTTATTAGAAGATTATGGTTAGTTTGAATCTCATGCTATAACTAATGCTTTTAATGTAAGAAAAAAAAACTCCTTGTATTTAAATAAAAATGTGGTTGTTAAAAGAAAAAAATGTTTATACAGTTTAAAATATAATAGAAAAAAAAATATTTATATGGTATCAAATGGAAAATAGACAAAATTGAACAAAATTTGATAAATAATGTTCGATTGGAACAAAAAAACATAGTGTCAAAATTGAAATAAAAAATTAAACTTAGTGTTAAAATCGAAAAAAAAATGAAAACTTAGTGTTTTTTGTGGAAAAAAAATCAATTTTGACACGTCAGCATGCCACATCAGCAAAATTGACACGTCATCATGTCATGATAGCATGTAACCTGGTTAACCGGTCAAGTGGTCAGAATTGTAACAAATCGGAAAACACAGTATCAAAATTGACAAAAAAAAAACATGGTGTCAAAATTGAATTTATGTATAAAAAGAGTGTTTTTTGTGTCATTTACCGTTAAGATTACAAATATCTTTTAAAGTTTTATTTATATGTTTATTGCAATTTTTTAAGTAATACTCCACCAAAATTAAACTTATTCCTTTTTTTGAACTTGTTCACAACTAATATTTTTAATGCAGATTCACTCAATTTATTTGTTTGATAAATGTTTTTATTTACAAATTTGAGTCCATTATCATTTATAAAATGCATCATTATTTTGATGAATACATTGTTTCATAAATATTTGTAATTTTATAAATATGTATAATTTCATAAATATTAATGATATTCGATATCAACGAGAATGTATAAAATCAAAAAAAAAAAAAACTGTCAGTAATATCTAAGACTATTTTAACCTGATTCGATAATATTATTGATGTCATGTCCCAACAAAACCATATATTGGTTACACATATATGCATTTCTCAAAAGTCAAAGGGATAATGACTTATAAAAGATTAACATATTTTTTTTATTTGTGCATATTTGGTCACTTGGTCACTAAGGGTTATTCTTTTCTTCCACATTTGACCATTTAACTTGTTTTTTTGTCCAAATTTAATCTTTATAACCGAATACTCCAAGTTAAACCGGAAAAATAACTTAATACGATAATATAATTTTCAGTTTGTATACATTTAGTCGTTAATATTTTTGTATATATTTAATCCTTATGATATGTATAGTAAATTACTAATCTTTTTCTATTTCTTTTTCTGTGTTAGAAAATAGAGAGTTTCCAATTTTTTACTTCACTTCAATACTCAATACAATAACAATATTCAATAAAATAAATAGGAAACTAGGAATGAGAGTCTTTTTCTCGCATCCATTCATATTTGTTATATGTGGCTCGTCTTTTACTTATATTAGTAACCTAATTCATAAATCAGTTAAATAATATTGGTGCTCTTATTATCTAGTTTTCTCCAAGCAGAATATGTATTCTTCTTTGATTTCATCTATATTTATAACACACAACATGAATTTTTGTGATTTTTTCCTCCTAACTCGAATTTGTACTTTCAAGACAAAAAAATAAAAAAAATAAAAAAACAAAAAAATAAGAAAGACAACTATTAGAATTTGCACATCTAAGATAAAAGCACTCTCACAAAAAGTTTATATCTACCTTCATAGCAGACAACGAGATTTTTTATGATTGTTTCCTCCCAGCTTGAATAATAAGACATATGTATATGGTTGTAACGTCCTATCCCTAAATACATATGTTTTTTAATAGAATACATCTAATGATGAAGGATACTAAAAGTATCACCCATAAACTTAAATATAGAAGCCTAAATAGATTAGAACGTAAGGTCGGACGGAATGGAGCTGCGGGGAGGGGTGCGAGACGTTTCCGCATGCGGGAACACCACACCATCGATGCGGGATGCGAAGTGCGGAAAGGGGGTGCAGGATGGGGATGTCATGTTCTCACTCTTCACCTCATTCGTCCATTATTTTTTTTCTTTTTTTGATTCAAACGGTTATATAGTCGTTAATATATATATATATATATATATATATATATATATATATATATATATATATATATATATATATATATATATATATATATATATTTGTTTTTTTTTTTCTATTTCTTTAAACTATAAATACCACAACATCCAACCATTTTTTTAATCCATACCTTATACTTCTTTCTAAAAAATATTAATCAAAA